TGAAATACTGTATTATAATGAATATATATTCACACACATATATAGTATGTAGTGATAACTGTGATAAATTGTTTTTCCATCTCTTTTAACATTAATAATTTTTATATGTTGAGATCTTTTGAACTCTTCCTGCTATCTTGACGTATATCCTAGCTTATTAAAGAAAATTGTTCTTGGAGTGTAAAAGAGAAAGCCAGAACTAATTTCTTCTGCATGTGTTTTCCTACCCCTTCATTTTTTGCTCTTCTTAGGCTCTAGTGACTAATATTCCAGTTTATTGTCCCATGAGATTGCGTTTTCCATCAGTGAGTGAGGTTATGTGGTAATTGTCTTTTTGTGCATGCCTCATTTCAATTTACATTTAAGTTTTGTGGATCATAGTCATTTTTACCCAGGTGAGACAATATCTCATTGTGGTTCTGACTGAGGTTAATTTCTGTGATGCTTAATGATGTCCTTTTAAAATTTACTTGTTGGTCATTTATGTATTTCTTTTTGAGGAATATCTATTCTGACCTTTGGACTATTTCATCGTATTTTTTGTGGAGTTTATGTGGAGTTTTTCGATATTTTATATAATCTGGGTATTGATTACTTGCTGGATGTGTGGTTTATAAATATTTTCTACAATTCTATAATCTGTTTCTTAACTATTGGTTGTTGTCAGAGCTTTTAATTTGATAGAATGCCATTTGTTTGCATTTGGTTTGCTGCCTGTATTTTGGGGATCCTGCTGGAACAAATCTTTCCTCACTGGTATCTTGAAGTGATTTCATGGTTTTAAGCCAAATATTTAGGTCTTTGATCTATTTTGTGTTTATTTTTATGTATGGTGAGAGGTGTGGCTCTAGGTATTTTCTCAGCATACAATGTGCAGTCTTGTTTAAATTGATCTTTTAATATGCTGGAGGCGAGTAAAAAGCATGGGAAGACAGTATCTAGTTCCATAGCTGGAAGGCCCATCTTGCCATATTCTTAGTTTTCCATGGGCTTTGAATGCTATAATATGAAATCATTGAGTGCAGAAAGCTCTGTTTCTGTGATATAGGATTTTCCTATAAAATAGTTCTAAAGGATGAGGTGTCATGAAAATACACAGGCTGTCCTGATGCTCTGTTTTGTCTTGTTCACAGAAGTCAGTCTGCAACTGAATAAATGAAAATGAAGAATAAGACCTACTGGGAAAGGTACAAAGTGAAGAGTGTTCATAGGAACTCACAAAGAGACAACTCTATGAATGCGCACTGACAGTAGACTCATTTTTTTTTTCATTAAAGTGCTACCTTCCAATATGAGTTAATGACACACTGATTTATCATCAACCCGGCATTACTCTTAAGGTGGTTTTACCCAGTGGTGAGATTACCAGAAGACAGCCACATTCTTTTTTTTTTTTTTTTTTTTGGCCATCCTTACAACCAAAGTCATACAATTTAATTGGTAGACAAGAGTTAGGTATATAATTTGTGGACAGGACAGTGACTATAGCTCACTATCCCACAGGCAGTGAACTTGAATGCCAGCCTGATGAGCTCTCTCTTGCTTTCTAGGCTAGGGAGCCTCAGGGACTACTGCTGAGAATGGCTTATCATTCTATTCATAGATTGTTATACTTTCTTGCAAAGTACATGTTTTCACTGGTGTTTAAATTTTTATTGCTGAGGAGTACAAAATATGTTTGAGCTAAATTCAATTTTCCCTTAATTTACCAAGGCTTCTGAACAAACGAGATACCTATTCTGAGCAAATTGATGGTTTTATACCTATTGTGAAATGTACTTTAAAAATGATTGAACAGTATTATTTAGTTAAAAGCAGCTACTTTACAAATTATAATTTAGTTATACTTTATGATGGTTGGTTACTCACTTCAGTTTTATTTTGGAAACAATATAGACACATGTCATCACATCTCCTAATATTTACACTGGGCTCTGGCAATGGTAATACTATGGTATTAAGAAGTTATGCATATAGAGCTAGGAGACATGCTTCTTAACCTCATTCTGTGAGCTACAGGTTTCACACTGTGAATGTATTTTCCTATTCACTCTACAAAGAAAAAGACCACGGAAAACACAAGTAAAAACAGTACCAGTTGGGTTCAAAGTGTCAGTAGCAGCAAGAGGTTTCCTGGTAGAGCTTTGTATCTCCATCCTCACTCAGTGTCTACAAGCCCTTCAACATTCCCTTTTATCTAGATAAAAGAGATTTCCCCCAATGTTCTTTAAGATACTAAGCACACACATTACCAAAACAAATTATCTGGTCATTTTATTCCTTCCTGTTGGTATCCTAGGCCATTTCTAGAGATAAACAGCTCTAAAGATAAAGTTGATGAGAGGATTTAGTAGGGAAGATCTTATTTTGAACCTTGATGAAGGTTTACAGGGCTTTGGGGAGATCAACCCATCTCAAAAGGGATGAGTGCAGAGCCTTGGTGAGAGGCGATTTGGAAGGAAGATTGGTGAGGGTGGGAATCCATTACCAGATAAGGACTACAGTCAAACTTGTGTTAGGGAGACTGGCCGAGTGGGATTTGTGCATGAGTGCATGTGTCACAGTGAGGGGAAACAGGAGAGAAACTTCACATTTCCTGTTCTGTGAGGGGATGACTTCATAAAGGAACAATAAATCAAACTGCATGCATATCAAGGACTATGGCTTGTTCCATAGGACATTCTTGAAAGACTTTCAAGTATGAGTTGAAATTCAGGTCAGAGATCGCAACTACACCCCTATATCTGAGTGCGACTGGAAAGTAGTTCCACTTTTCTAATCATCTTTCTTATAATCACCTTTGGATGTCTCTCTTTTATTTTGACAGCAGCCAGAGCTGGGGTTTTAGCTATTACCTTTACTTCTCTGTCACACAAAGTTTGATGGTTAGGAATCCTCTCTCTTAAACCTTCTGCACCCAAACAAGCATAAGCCTACATCTGACTCAAGGAGCAATATTCCTATATTTTTTGGTGGTGAGCCTAGCCTTTAACGGCTGAGCTATCCCTCCAGCCCTGGGAGCAATATTCCTATCACTTTCACAAAGACTGTGCTGGCCTATACATCCCAGGAGTTCTTGCAAAATCTCATTACAAGTTTAACTGATACTATAATTTTCAAGGGAATAAAATGTGGGAAAACTGGAAAAAGAAACCAAAATAATATTTTGCATATTATATAGGCAGAACAAATAGTTAAAAGGGATATTTTTATTTTGCAGCAGTAATTTATGCAATAATTCAGTTTATATTTAATTTCCTCAGAGAGACCATATTTTGTACATAAAAGTTATGAAGAATTTGGGTTTTTCCTAAAATATATTTGATGGTCTCTTCTACATTCTAGATAGTTCTCTAGGGAAAGAAGACAGAACAGTGAAAACTAAAGATAATCCCCAATATGAATTCCAGGAAAGAAGACAGGCAAAACACACATCAACTAATACATGGACAACAGGCTTTAGAAAGACAAGGCTGTGAAAAATATATTAAGAGTTATTTTAAGTTAGGGTTTCAGAATGTTAGATTTAATTTGGGAAGGATTGTAAACAAACAAGTTATAAGCTGAGCCAAACAAGTGTATGTTAGCAATGTCAGAATTCCAACTGTAAACGAAGTGCAAAGAGTTCTCCAAGGCAGAGGTGAAGTTGTTGTTCAAGTTGCATACAGGGCAATGCGACTGGTTTAATTACAAGAGGAGTGAGGTGGAAAGTTCGATTGACGAGTAACCTGGAGACAAGTTATAGGTCTTTGTGGGCCAACAAGGGTTATCTAGATTTTATTCCTGGTACAGTAGGATTTATGCAGGAATAAGATCCTAATTATTCACCCTTTATAGTAACACTTTCATTTGCATGCATTTGCATTTCAATTTTACGAGTCTCCAAAGCTTCTATGTTATAGAATTTCTAGCATAGAAATAACTGTAATACTCAGGTGTATTGAAATACACAGGAAAGTGAAGTGGGCCTCATTGCTTGTCAGTGTGAGCTTGCACTTCCCCATGTAACTGTTGACTCAGTGAGAGGTTGCTCTCCACTGGCAGGCCAAGCCACAGCACAGCACAGGGACACGTCAAGCAGAACATTCTTTCACTGAGTGATGAATTGTTGACAGTCTCTCCACATACATACACTTTAGTCTTAAAAATGGATATTTTAAACATGATAACACACATGTGACTATGGAATAAAATATGCTTTGTATTTTGGGGGTCAGAAACTATAAAATACTTCAGGATTTCCATTGGATTTCACTTAGATAGACTCTATTACAATTTCCATCAAAATACACTCTGCCTTTTAACTAAATAATGTTTCTTTGGGGCACTGGCTGAGAGTTGACATCTGAGAATGTGAATGTGGAGAAAAAGGATTTTTGTTTCAAAGCTAAGCTGTGTGCAGAGACTGCACTGTCTGTTTACACAGGTTCCTTTGGTGAGGGTGTATGTGCTTTCAGGCTGCAGACAAGAGCTGCTACATGACTTCTGAGTGGGAAAGATAGTGTGTGTCCAGTTCTCTAAGTTCTCATGGCTCAGTTAGGGAGAGCAGAGGGGAGTCAGTCCCTAGAAGACTTCTCTGCCTGACTTCCCAAGAACTTTTATTTGAAAAGATTAAAGAAAGTGACTATTTTTTTTAAAACCTTTACCTTATTCTTAGCAATGAACTCTAGTGAAATAGTAAAGATCGAAAGTACACAATGAAGAATATGTTGTAAATAATCTTTCCTAAACTTCACCTTATAAACTAGAGGTGAGGTGTGTGCATGCGTGCGTGCGTGTGTGTGTGTGTGTGTGTGTGTGTGTGTGTGTGTGTGTATTTTACTCTTCTCACCTGACAGAAACAACCATTAAAGGATTTATTTGGGGTTTTCATTGAAAATGTAATTCATTGTATCAGGGAGGGTTGAGGGATGGTACTAGAGGAGCCCTGTATATAAAGTCAGGCGGCGGAAAGGTAAACACCGGTGCTCACTTTCTTTCTCCCTTTGCCCTTTTTATTCAGTCTAGAAGCCCAGGACACGGAATGGTGCCACCAATGTTCAGGATGGATCTTCCCACCTTGGGTAATCCTCTCTGGAAACATGCTCACAGTTACATTTCATAAAGGCATGTCTCCTGAGTAATTATAAGCCTCATCAAGCCAACAGTGAAGATTAAACACCACAAGTCTACCTCTTGTCAACTTGACACTAAGGCAACCCACCCCTTTTAAGTTAAGGAATGCCATTACTGACCCCCAAAGTCTTAGGATTATCTCAGAGTTAAAAACACATTAATTTACCTACAAAACTACATAGTTTCAACAATATTCAAAAACCAAAAGTCACTCTAAGATTCAAAAAAAACTCTTAACTTGTAAAATAACAAAGAAGTCACACACTTCCAGTGTAAGCATTCCCATTATCCAAAGCAGGGATGGGAAAAACCAAGGAAATAGTTTACTAAACAAGAAAGATACTCAGCAGAACAAGAAGCAGTGGTGGTGTATGCCTTTAATCCCAGCACTCAGGAGGCAGAGGCAGGTGGGTCTCTGTGATTTGAAGCCAGCCTGGCCTATAGAGTGAGTTCCAGGATAGCCTCCAAAGCCACAGAGAAACCCTGCCTTAAAAAACAAACAAACAAACAAACAAAAACAGAAAAAGAAAGGGAGAAAAGAAAAGAAAAGACTATAGTTCCATGTTTAGTGCTAGGGACTTGTAGCCTCTATCATCTGGCCTCCAACAAGCTTAGGCCACCCTGCCTTTTTAGTTCTACAACCTGCCAAAAACATAGCCTCTCTCTTGGTTTGTTTTAACTCTATGCTTTTAGTTTTGCTGCTTCAGACATTCCATGAGCCAAGGATGCAATAAAAACCTTGTGATGGGACTTCATTGCCTGCATTTCTTTCAGAATATTATCTTCCACACTTCTATCAGAAGGGCCCCTTGAACTCTGCTTATATTATGCCAGGGTTTCTTGACCTCCATCTTAAAACTCTTCCATATCACCGCTACAAGTCCTACAAAGCACATGATGAGGCACTCAGAGCAACAACCCTAGTCAATAAGAAGTTTCTGGATTAGTTGCTTCTCTGGTTGCTGTGAGAAAACACCTGAGAAAAGCAACTTAGTGGAGAGTCAACTTTGACTCCTGACGTTAGGGTACAGCCCGACCCCTGGTCCCCACTCAAAGCAGGGAAGTTATGGCAGCACAAGGATGAGGTAGCAGGTCACACATGATATCAGTAGTTAGGAATCAGAGAGAGATGGTTCCTGCTACTCAGCTTGCTTTTTCTCCTTTCCCTTTTATTTAGTCTAGGGTGCCAGCACGTGGAATGGTGTTTCCTAAATTCAAGGTAAGTCTTCCCTTCTCCACTAATCTTCTCTAGATTTATCTTTAGACAATCACAGAGGTATATGTTCTAGGTAATTCTAAACCTATTCAAGCCAACAACAAAGATCAACTCTTATAGTTATATGGTCAACTTCCAGGAATAGCTTTTATTAAACTACCATATATATTGACACCGAGTCATTGTCATTATCAGACAAACGTTGGGCTAGAGTTTCATAAGATTTAGTTGTAAAACTGGTCGACCAATGAATAATCTTGTTAGTGTTTGTGTGCTTCATGCAAAATATGCTGTTGATTCACGAATAGTGAACCCATGATCAACAGTGTTAAAATTCCTGTTTGAATGGAGATGCTCTGATAAATGTACCTACCTCTGCATGGTGTAGCATAGTATTTTTCTCCACTTAGGAACAACAGATAATACTTTGTTACTATTCCTGGGTTGTAATTTAGACAGTAAAGTCATTTAGAGCCCTGCCCAAATGTAAAAATCAAACGTACAAAAACATAATCACAAGACAAAACAGGAAGACAAGAGAAAAAATCAACAGCAAATAACCCCCAAAAGAGAGCTGCTTACATTAAGAGTTAAACAAGAAAACAAATAATATTTTGCAGACCCCATTGACAGAATGGAGGGGTTTAATTTTCTACTACCTGCATGCCTGCAAATGAACACCAAGTGCCCTTGTGGTTGGTTTTGGAGTTGAACAAAATATAGAGTATCTGAATAATGAGGATCAAAAGCATTTAAAATAAACACATATTTGCACCCAGTTAACCCATTAATGGCAGCAGGAAAAAACCGTATCATTTTCAAAGAGTAGTAACGCTAATGATGGTGTACACACATTCTGCAGTAAGTTTTAATTCTTTGATTGGAAAGTGGCATGTTACTCTTCTTAGTACATGTAGAGATTGTCAAATGATTAATTAAGGGAGATCTACACAATGTTTGTTCTCATCAACAAATACTCAGAGCATGCAACCTTTCTCTTTTTTTTCTGGGAGAAATTCAAAAATGTCTCAAATACATTTTATGGCAGAAAATAGGAACATATTGATTTTTGAATCTTTAGACACAGATGTCAAACTGCAACAAACTGAAGAAAACTTGTTTGTTTTACTTGGTGGTTATTTCACCTCTTGAAACATGAATATGACTTCATTCTCCATAAATCAATAAATCTTGAGTTGGTAATTTCTTTGTTTTGTAGAAAGGAAATTACATCATAATAGTAGTCTTGGGATAAATAAGATCAGCTCGTTCCCTAATGTCAGCATTGAAACCACAAATTGAATGTCAAGACCCTAAATTGTTATTTTCATTTAATTTTAAAAGTATGGAAAAAACTCAAAATGATTCAAACCAAAAAGAAAAAAAACCTAAATCTAGAAAAATATATACTTAGTTATATTTTCTTTGTCTCTCTTTCTTTTTTTTTTAAATCAGGACAACACATGAGAAAATCCTTAGGAAGAGAAAAGTTGGCAGAAATGTGATTTTTGACTTGCAAGTGTGTGGAGTTCAACTAGCATGCTGTTTAATATAGCTTTTCTGCTCTAAAGTTTCCTAAGTCTCCATTAGAAAACACTTACATTATTTTTGATTTTTCAGAATATACCTTTAGGGCTTTTCTTGTGAACATAAAGGAATAGCAGGAAATCCTAGAGCCAATAACAATGACGATGGAATTGATGCAATTTAACACAGAAGTAGGATAGTTTATATAATTTAAAGTGTTCCTCCAATGACAAATTCATAAAATGTTTAAACTCTGCTTATACAAGTACATGCACATGTTTGTACTGTGCTGGTGAACTTATACATGCTTTTTGTTTTTCAGAAAATATAGTTAGAAAAAAGTTTTATTCAAAGTAATATTTTACATGAAGACAATGTCAAACAATTATTTTATCTCTTCTAACTTAGTATTTAATTTAATAAATGTATTATAATAGTCTAGCAAATAAGTAAAAACACCACACACCAAAATGAATCAAATCAAATTCTGTCCAACTCTGTGAACTATAATTTAGAATAGGCGTCTGGAACAAAGGTGTGGAGCTTCACAGAAAATTTTAAACTTTCTGTGTCAAATATATTTTGTGTACTTATCCAACATCAAAACGAAAATAATCTGTGATATAAAAACAATTAGATTGACGTATTTTCTGTCAAAACCCATAAACTTTAGAAATAAAGTAGCATCTTTATTCTTGGAATGTATAAAAGAACTTTAATCAGTTTTTTAAAATCGTATTTCTAATACACATCATTGGTTTTGAAATATGGCCATAATTGCTAAAATTTTAGATGAAACTCATTTTAAAATTATAGATGAAACATAAAGTATTTGTTGGATGTATGTGTATTATATCCATAACTACTTATGAATTGTGTTCTTAATTTAGAAGATGCTTTCTTTTTTTCTCTTTTAAAAATTTAAATTAGAAATAATCTTGATTTACATGTCAATCCCAGTTCCCTCTCCCTCCCATCCTCCCCTTTGCCCCACCCACCCTCTTATCCCATCCCCTTTTTACTCCCCAGGGAGGGTGAGGCCTTCCATGGTGGATCTTCACAGTCTGTCATATCATTTGGAGCAGGGCCTAGGCCCTCCCCCATGTGTCTAGGCTGAAAGAGTATCTCTCTATGTGGAATGGGCTCCCAAAGCCCATTCCTGTACTACCAGAGGCCCCATAGACTGCCCAGGAGAAGATACTTTTTGTTTATTTATTTATTTTTGTGTTTTCGAGACAGGATTTCTCTGTGGCTTTGGAGGCTGTCTTGGAACTAGCTCTTGTAGAACAGGCTGGTCTTGAACTCACAGAGATCTGCCTGCATCTGCCTCCCTTGTGCTGGGATTAAAGGTGTGCACCACCAATGCCTGGCACGAGAAGATATTTTATTAACACCTAAAGTTGTATAGAAACTACAGAGAAAATTCTTTCTAGGTAGTAAAAGACAATCTCTCTCTATCCCTCTCCCTCCTCCCCTCTGTGTGTGTGTTTGTATGTGAGCCCATGCATATTTATGTGTTTTGTGTGTATATATATGGAGGTAAGAGACAAAATTAAAGAAGATTTAGGAGACTGAACTGAGGTCGTCAGGGTTGTTAGCATGTTGCTTTACTCATTGAACCATCTAAACAGCCATTATTTGCAATTTGCAGAAAAAGTAGAAATTACTTATCTACAGATAGCTCCATAATTATTTGGTGCTTAATTTTATTGTGGTACATAGACTAATATTTCATAAGAAAATAACTAAATGGTTTACTTATACCCATTTTTATCTTAGCAACATTTTCATGCTGCAAGGCTAGAAAAACATAGTTTGCCTGTCTAGATATAGGAGCTGTATTTAAATGATTTCATGCCAACATATTCTAAAACAAATTATCAAATTTCTTACACTTATGGGTTGTCACTATTTATTCAATACAAATTCTCCTCCCCGGTCTTGACCCCTTTGCTCTCCTCCCTCTCTGTCACTGGGTTCCAGGATTTCAGTTCAATGTTTAGCTGTGGGTGTCTGCTCTGCTTTGTCAGTCACTAGATGAAGGTTCTAGTCATCCAACTCATTATCAGGGATGGGCATTTAAAGTAGTCCACAGAAACTGCTGACCTGAATAAGGGTGAGCTCTTGGACCCCAGACTGATGGCTGGGAGGTCAACATGGGACTGATCCAGACCCCTTAAATGTGGTTGTCAGTACGGAGGCCTGGCCAATCTATGCAGCCTTGGGCAGTAATCAATATTTATCCCTGACATACAAATAAACTTTGGGTGCCCATCCCACAATGTGGGTTGCTCTCTCAGCCTGGACTCTTGGGGAAGGGCCTAGGCCTTGCGCTGAATGAAATGATAGACTCTGGATATCCCCATGGAGGGTCTCACTCTCCCTGGGGAATGATGTGGGGATTGGGTGGGGGGGCTAGGGAAGGAGGGTGGGAAGGTTGGGGGAGGAGGGGAGGGAGAAGGATCTGGGAAGCAAGCTTGTTGCTAATTTAAATAAAAATGTTACAAAAACAAACAAACAAAAACAGGAACATATCTAAACATCATAAAAGCTATATACTGCAAACCAACAGCCAACATCAAACTGAATGGAGAGAAACTCAAGGCAATTCCTCTAAGATCAGGAACGAAACAAGGCTGTCCCCTCTCCCCATACCTCTTCAATATTGTACTCAAAGTTCTAGCTAGAGCAATAAGACAACAAAAGGAGATCAAGGAGATACAAATTGGAAAGGAAGAGGTAAAACTTTCACTACTTGCAGATGATATGATAGTTTACATAAGTGACCCAAAGAACTCTATCAGGGAACTCTTACAGCTGATTAACACCTTCAGCAAAGTGGCAGGATTCAAGAGCAACTCAAAATATTCAGTAGCCCTACTATATACAGATGATAAAAGAAATCAGAGAAACATCACCCTTTACAATTGCCACACACAACATAGCTAACCAAACAAGTGAAAGACCTGTATCGAAAGAACTTTGAGTCTTTAAAGAAAAAAATTAAAGAAGACACCAGGAAATGGAAAGATCTCCCATGCTCTTGGATAGGTAGGATCAATGTAGTAAAAATGGCAATCCTGCCAAAAGCAATCTACAGATTCAATGCAATCCCCATCAAAATCACAGCACAATACTTCACAGACCTTGAAAGAACAATTCTCAACTTTGTATGGAAAAACATAAAACCCAGTATAGCCAAGACAACCCTGCTCAACAAAGCAATGTCAGGAGGCATCACCATCCTTGACTTTAAGCTCTATTATAGAGCTATAGTCCTGAAAACAGCTTGGTATTGGCACAAAAATTGACAGGTAGACAAATGGAATCAAATTGAAAGCCCTGAGATTAATTCACAAACCTATGAACACCTGGTTTTCGACAAAGAAGCTAAAATTATACAATGGAAAAAAGATAGCATCTTCAACAAATGGTGCTTGCATAACTGGATATTGGCATGTAGAAAACAGCAGATAGATACTTGTCTATTGCAATGCACAAAACTTAAGTCTAAATGGATCAAAGACTTCAACATAAATCCAGCCACACTGAACCTGCTAGAAGAGAAAGGGGAGGTACCCTTGAACAAATTGGTACAGGAGACTGCATTCTGAACATAACACCAGTAGCACAAACACTGAGATCAACAATTAGTAAATGGGACCTCCTGAAACTGAGTAGCTTCTGTAACGCAAAAGAAATAGTCAGCAAGACAAAAAGACACCCCACAGATTGGAAACTATTTTTAATAATCCCATATCTGACAGAGGGCTGATCTCCATAATTTACAAAGAACTCAATAAGCAAGTCTCCAAAACACCAAAGGATCCAATTAAAAATGGGGGACTGCACTAAATAGAGAATTCTCAATAGAGAGTAATGTTTCTTTTACGAATGTGGATGACTTTGTGTTTGGGGCATAGATGTTCTATCTTCGAATCCATCTGTTAGCCTGTGCCTTTTTATGAGCGAGTTAAGACCAATAATATTGAGGGATATTAATGACCTTTGATTGCTTGTTCTCGTTTGTTTTGGAATTGTTGTTCTTGGTGGAACTGCATGTGGATTTCCACCCCTTGTCTCTTTTGGCTGTTGGTAAAGTGGGATTATCTATTGCTTATGTTTTTCTGGTTGTAGTTACCTTCCTTGGGTTGGAGTTTTCCTTCCAGAACTTTCTGTAGGGCTGGGTTAGTGGATATTTATTGTTTAAATCTGGTTTTGTCATGGAATATCTTGTTTTCTCAATCTATATTGATTGAAAGCTTTGCTGGGTATAGTAGTCTGAGTTGGCATCTGTGGTCTCTTAGTGTTGAGAGATTATTTATCTGGGACCTTCTGGCTTTCATAGTTTCCATGGAGAAATCAGGTGTAATTCTGATAGGTTTGCCTTTATATTTTATTTGACCTTTTTCCTTATCTGGTCTAAGTATTCTTTCTTTATTCTGTATTCTTGGGGTCTTGATTATTACGTGGTGAGGGAACTTATATTTGTGCTTCACTCTATTTGGTGTTCTGTAAGCTTCTTGGACCTTCATTGGCATGTCTTTCTTTAGGTTGGTAAAGTTTTCTTCTATTATTTTTTGAATATGTTTTCTGGCCTTTTGAGTTGTGTTTCTTCACCTTCTTCTATACCTGTTATTCTTGGGTTTGGTCTTTTCATGGTGTCCCATATTTCCTGGATATTTTATGTTAGCGATTTCTTGGACTTAAGATTTTCTTTGATTGATGAATCTATTTATTCTAGTGTGTCTTCAACACCTGAGATTCTCTCTTCCATCTCTTGTATTATGTTGGTTATGCTTGCTTCTGTAGTACCTGACCATTTCCCCAGTTTTTCTATTTCTAGCATTCCTTCAGACTGTGTTTTATTTATTGTCTCCATGTCAGCTTTCAACCCTTGCACTTTTTGAATTGTTTCTTGTAATTTTTGCTTTGTGTTTTCCTCTTTTTCTTGCATTTGTTGGATTTTTTGGTTTGTTTTTTTCTTCAATTTCTTTAAGGGATTTTCTTACACCCTCTTTGAGGGCTTCTATCATTTTCATGAAGGTGTTTTTAAGGTCATTCCCTTCTGCTTCATCTGCATTGGTGTGTTTAGGTCTTA